TGTCATTCGAACACCCGACCATCCAACCTTCCTGCCTGCCCGCCACCGGACCAACCGACCATCATGCCATCCGACCACCCCACCGTCCTGCCATCTGAGCGCCCTACCATCCTGCAGTCCTACCATCCGAGCGCCCTACCATCCTGCAGTCCTGCCATCCAAACATCACCCTATCGTCGTGCCGCGCCATCCGATGGTCGGGCTTCAACACGACACCCTACTGTCCGATGGCGGGGCTTCAACGCGACACCCCACCACCCGATGGTCGAGCTTCGACGCGACACTCCACCATACGATGGTTGAGCATCACGGCTCCACCCGACCGTCGTGCCATCCTGGCATCCTGCAACCCTGCCATCCTGCCATCCTGCTCCACTTGACCATCGTGCCATCCTGGCATCCTGCAACCCTGCCATCCTGCCATCCTGCCACCCGACCATCCTCCGATCTTGCCATTCCGCTATCCTGCCATCCCCCCATCCTGCCATCCCACCACCTTACCATCCTCCCATCCTCCCATCCTCCCGTCCTCCCATCCTCCCATCCTGCCATCCTCCCATCGAATGGTCGGGCTTCAACACGACACCCCGCCATACAATGGTTGAGCTTCACCGCTCCACCTTACCGTCGTGCCATCTTGGCATCCTGCAACCCTGCCGTCCTGCCATCCTTCCACCCGACCATCCTCCGATCTTGCCATTCCGCCATCCTGCCATCCTCCTATCCTGCCATCCCACCACCCGACCATCCTCCCATTCTCCCATCCTCCCATCCTGCCATTCTCCCATCCGATGGTCGGGCTTCAACGCGACACCCCACCATACGATGGTCAAGCTTCACCGCTCCACCTGACCGTCGTGCCATCCTGGCATCTTGCAACCCTGCCATCCCGCCATCCTGCCGCCCGACCATCCTCCGATCTTGCCATTCCGCCATCCTCCCATCCTGCCATCCTGCCATCCCACCACCCGACTATCTAACCATCCTCCCATCCCGACATCCTCCCATCCGGTGGTCGGGCTTCAACGCGACACCCCACCATACGATGGTCGAGCTTCACCGCTCCACCCGACCGTCGTGCCATCCTGCCATCCGGACCAACCGACC